GAGGTGATCTTCCTTGGAAGTTTTAAATAAATAAATAAAAGATGTTTTAAGTACAGGATATTATGTCCTGGAACAGGGAGTTCCAAAAGCACTTTTTTTCCCTTGGTTTCAGCTGTTGTTTGTATTATCCCTCTATTATATTGCTTCAGCATATAATAAGAGGAATGAAATGTAATTTGATCTCCTTTTTAGCCGTCTGCAGGCAACTGAGTCATTTATTGGCAGTCATAATTCCCTAAACTTTATTTCAGTATGATCCATATGCATTGTGTCTTACAGAGCAGCATAGGTAAAATAAGATCCTGTCCTCAGTGTGCTTACTGTGACTGCATCTCCACTGCAGAATTAATGCAGTTTAATACCCCTTTAACTACTATGGCTCAAAGCTATGGAATGATGGGATTTTTTAGTTTTTGAGAGATATGACGCCTTTTCTGCCAGACACAAGGTGGCACAAGGAACTACAAATCCCAGGATTCCATAGGATGGAGCCATGACAAGTGGTGTCAAACTGCATTAATTCTGCAGTGTGGTGACAGTCTATGGATGTTATCACACGGGACAAATCTGCTGGTTAATCCACACAAATCCCAAACAAAAACTGGATTTGTGCCTTGCGTTTTCACATGACGTCGCACAGAAACTGGACAGAAAGTGGAGAGAAACTGGTGTTATCTGAGATCTTTTGAAATTCGGTTGTTTGGAGGAAATGCAAATGCGAAATTAAGGTAATTGCGCATTTACCGTAATGTGAAAAGCAAATGCGCATTTGGGAGCATTTCCCTGCTTTTCCCATGGTTCCACAGTGAGCATTCCTCTATCTGCGCATGTGAAAGAAGCTCATTTCTAGTACATCTACGGGCTTTTCTCACTTGTGTGTGAACGTTAAATGCACTTACTTTAATTTTGCAATTAAGGTAATTATGTATGAAAGCCATTTGAGGAATCAAGGTTTATTTTCGGTTTATTTTCGGAATGCCTCATTTCCACTTTATTATATCGCCTTCTGGCCCACATGTGATAACGTCCTATGATAGATTGTAAGTAGAAAACAAAGGGAGAGAATGAGAAAAAAGAATATGAAGGGGGGGAAAAGGTAGGTAGAGGTTTTGCACCATTCTTACAACTTGCAACTGAAGACTGAAGGGATAAGTCAAAGGAAGTGGTAGTGAATTTTGAGGAGGAAGGATGTTGAGGAAAGAACTGAAAGAAAAGAGTAAGGAAGGGGAGTGGTACTTGAATGTCCAGGAACAAGGACCAACTCTTAACATTAAGCAGAGTGAATCAGTCACTTGAATTGGCAGATGCTAGGAGACAGCAGAAAGGTGTTGAAGAAAGCCATGTACAGCACCATCATCTGGTATGATAGAAAGAAAGCTCTCCCATCACCAGAGCTGAAGAGAGCCCATCTGGTTGGCTTTTGTACATAGAATATGAGGAACTACCTTTTTATTATTCAGCTCAGGTAGCAAAATATCTTGGACTTGACCCTGTCAGGGAAGCTACGCCATAGCTGGGTCAGCAAAGGATAATGGATAGAGTTTTTAAAGCTGGGAGCTGGCAAAATCTACTTTTTGCCAGACCCTCCCTTTAAAAATTCTACCCATCTAATGGTTTACCAATAGATTTTTGGATAATTTCCAGTGGAATGGGTGACTGATTCCCAGTTGTTTAACATTAGCATTAGCAAAACAAGAACTTTTGAGAGAAAGCCAGGTGTACTCTGTGTGTGTGTGTGTGTGTGTGTGTGTGTGTGTGCACCTTCAAGTCATCTATTGATTTATGGCAAACCCATG